TTTCCCTTCGCGAAATATTTACCTGCATAACAGGTCTATAGCCCGTAAGTAATTCACTTGTTACGGATGATGATTTTTTGTGTTTACACCTAGTCGGCGTAGTTTAGCGAGTGTTGTCAAATGGAAAACAATTTTTAACGAAGCGAAATATATGTATTGTTGATGACCCAGAACAACATATTACTCATTTTCATCACCGTAAAAGTCTTTGTAAATTTATATAGAGTAATATTAAATACCGGGAACAAATATGTACAAATTCGGCTACTGACTTCAATAAAATGCTTAGTTTTATTCTTACAAAACGTAATTACTAGAAGACTAATAGGAAAGGAATTGCTTAATATTCTGAAAAATTATAGAACCCGTATGTACACTTCGCTGGGAGAATACAGAATTGTTTAATGTTGAAGCGTGAGTGAGACGTGTTTTATATGCCTAATTTAGAATTAATTAAATTAAAACTCGTACAAAATAAAACCTTCTTCTGAGAGGAATAAGAAACCAGGAGTCCTACATCTGCAGTGGTTGATTACATGATCGCAATTAAATTATTTTGAACTTTTCAAATTACCAAAGACGAGTTACTGAAGATTCAAATGTCTGTTGCCGCATTATTCATTTAGAGTAGAATGGTTTCTCCAAATGTTGCATAATCGCATGAAATGATAAATATTTTTAATGTTTAGTTATTATTAATACACGTAATTAATTACTGAAATTCGCTTTGTGATTAAATATGTTGCAGATAGTTGGAGCAGTCACTACTTATTTGGTGATTCTAATTCAGTTTCATAAATTATACGACGCTGAAACTCGTTCTGTTACAAACGTTACTTCAACAGTGTAACAATTTTTTATTTAAAATTTTATGTTGTATAAATGACAGAGAAAGTGAGTATTAAACAACACTTGATAGGGATGCAGTTCATAATAGCTTACATTTTCAGTAAGTTTGCCATTATTAAGTATAGTACATGAAGAAGTATAATAAATTAACATTTATCTCTCAGCCAACACAGAAAATTGAAATAATTTTATGTGCCTTTTTTTAAAAAAATATTAAGCACTTGAATGGAATATTACTACTTACCAATAAATGTTTCTAAGAAGAAAGATTTTTATATATGATGGACGTGTACACATTTCAGTACAGTAGATTGTGGTTAATTGGACCATCGGTTAATTGGGGTAGCCCTTTTATTTGGAATAAATCTTAAAAAACAAACCTTTTTAACTCTTTACGTGGAACTTCACATAATTGGGGCAGCCGCTCAATTGGTGTAAATATTCTAGTCCCGATATGTCCCAATTAACCGGAATCCACTGTATTTTGAATTAATATTAATATACCTGTAAATAAATATACAGTTACGCAATTTCTTTGTTTATTCGTTATCATAGGAAAATCAAAAGAATTTTTCTGCATTTAATTGTCATCTTTTAATATGTGTTACTGTTTAATCGAGTCTGTGGTGTTTGGTGGTCAGCGCATGAACAACTCCAAAACTGATCATTTTGAGTTACGTACAAGTATTGTCTGATCTCAGGTGACCTTTAATTTTGTCAGTCCTTGATAAATGTATCTCATATGGAATTGCTACTTCTGATAATTGCAGAAAAACAACTTGAAAGAATCTCTCATTTGTAGTTGTCATCTTGGGATTATATTTAGACCAAATATTAATCGTTTCCTTTGATACAACTTTCTCATTTGCTATGCCCTCTCCTATCGTCCACGGCAGGTTTTGATGGGAACAGTTTTCATGGAACTGAAGATAAACGCATCTTAATTTAGGAAAATCTTGTCGTTGTTTAAAAGTGTTCGTGTAATACTCAGCAAAGGAATGTATCATGTAACATCCGGAAGTGTGAACACCATTTTAAAATGTTGTACTAATCGGTGTGTTACGTTTCTCATATAGTCCTCTACTTACTTAATTTCCGTAGTTCTATATTTAAATTAATTATTACTAAATATACTAGAATACGCCAACAAAACAGAATCCTCTATCAAGTTGTAAGTGTTCGTCGGACTAAGTAATATAGAAAAAAGCATGATTACTATGAATTAAATTTGTAATAAATAAATAAAATCAGTTAAAGGAATACAAACTCACGTGTTGAAGAATATGTAAATTCGAGTGTATTTTTTACACGCTATTACAAACATTTTAATTTCCTACTCTTACAAGTGGGTTTTGGAAAGTTGAATGAGGTCATTCGGGATTGTGTTTAAAGCACAATCGATCAGAATTTAGGATATCATTTACGGATTAATAATTAATAATATCACGTTTATGTCTTGCGATGTAACATCCATAATATTGTGTTCAGTCGTTGTAAGATGTAATTTTAAACTCTTTTTTCTCGTGAGTTCGGCGGTCGTTTTTAAATAACCCAAACTGCCTTACGAGCGAGAACAATTGCCTGTCGTACAAGATTGTGATTGGGAACTACTAAAACATTGTTGATTTTCCAAAAGTTCATTTGCGTTGTTCAGAAAAGGTGAGTTGGAACTGAATGAGAATGACTAAATACGTGGTCACTGCACCAACGATCTGAAAAAGAATAACTATTATTAACGAAAGTAAATGTAAAATTTCTAATTCTCCAAGTTGATGATTTACGTACTTGATAAAAAATTTCTACATCTTTAAAAAAATTTACCGTACTTATCCAAATTAGAAGATATTAACTGTAAGTCGATAGTCGATCCATATCTGATTCCTTATTAAGCTACTTGTATGAAGTGAACACAATCTCTTCACAAAACAGATGTAACTCACAGCGTATAGCAGGGTGAAATCGAGCGGAAAGAATCCACAGGCCGTGAACTGGACTTTCCGATGCAGTAACTGTAGTGAGAACAGTTCAAGCTGAAACATACAAATATTTGTCAAAAAATGACTATTCTGAATAATATTAAAATTTATATTAAATAGGGTGTTAGGGGTAACACTGCATTAATCTGGCTCGGGATAGGAGCCACTGTCTGAATCTTATATGAACGACAATGAACCTGCACATTTCATAACAGATTTGAGTAACTATTAGTTTTTTCGTAAGGATTATATTCCAGTGTGTTAATTAAATCCAGTCCATACATATCACAGTATTTATTTAAGATAATTTTTTATAATATACTTTGATCTGTTCCTTAGCTACAAATTATTAACTTTTATTCAGGATTTCCGAATAAAGTGTTCTATGCACTTTTTATGTATCCCGTGCGTACTACATGCCCCACCCATCTACAAGTTTTTATTTCAAGCTTCCTAATAATATTTGGTGAAGATTAAAATTTACGAAGGTCATCATGCAAAAGTCTTCGTTCGCTGCCGAACCTCCCTCCCCCCCTTTAGGTTCACGTATCAGGTTGTGGGATGTTAAACAATATGAACCCATCTCCCTTCCAGCATCCCGTATAAGCAGTGATGTTTTATCACCTCCTGTCTGACGTCATGATCCTTAGCCTTGCTCAGCAGTCTGTGTACAACGACTGCAGTGCGGTTAGCCTGAAACAGGACCAGAGGTGGGATTCAGGGAATGACTTGTTTGCGTGTTTTCAGAACTGTGAAGATTCGAATCAACAACTCGGTGATGGAATTCGTTGCCTTTTTGGGACTCTTTCTTCATTTACTACTTTAGACATTCGCGTGAGAGAAAAATATTTTGATATATGATCAAAACATCGTCGTATACCTTTACATACGCACGTAGTATCATCTTGGTATATTGGTCCAAGAACCTACTTTGCTAACACAATTTATTCAGGGCCATCTCCTTCTCATTTCCAAACTGTTATATATACAATAACTTACCTTAAATCGAAACGTAATTCAACCAACAACAAAATGTAAATAGTTAAATGTTGCGTTTATTCATCCTTGCCGCACTACAAACAGCTGGATTTGATAACTCGTAAATTGAACATAGGTGGTGCTTATATATATATATATATATATATATATATATATATATATATATACTTAATTAACTACGCCAAACACAAAACGTACAATCTCATGTATCACTTACACTTTTGATGCACGAACTGCAAGCGTAGATGAGAAAGATGAATTTTATCCAGTGAAAACATCTGTTCACTAACATGTGGGGATAGAGAGTACCAGAGTCTTTGACAAAATTTGAGAAAACAATACGATATAATTTCTGTGTGGAGCGAAAGAAACTAAGGCCGATGTCTAGGAGTATGATAGGGGAGTATATACAATTTAATGATTCGGCGACATCACATAAAGAGTCATAAAACGAATGTAAGTATTCTACTGTTTTCAATTTAGGTGGCTTATAAATATAGTTGAACTCCATAATACGTTTAGCTGTGAAGCAACCGTTCGCCAGATGTGTGTTGACGCCTGCAAAGTACTGTTGCAAGTGAAGAACGAAGTTGATGAATTGCAATTCTACAACATACATCGATAAATCAATGATGGTGTATATTGCATTACGTGGGAAATAGATTGAACATCTTTCTACATAAAACCATTCAGACATATCTGAGAAAATTATTAGTGCGATTCCCAATAACAGTTGAGGAATAACAACACGAATTTTGGTGCATACAGATTCTTTCAAGCCTACCAACAGATAATTCCAGTGCACTAGATTCTTTGTTATGTCGCATATATTTGTTTGGTGACAGAAACAAATTGTGACCACTATAGTGTGAGAGACAGGTTTAGAAACTGCAATCATAATATCTAAAGCAGAAGAGACTTCAGACTCGAAACGATGTAAATCTATGAATATGAGAGATACAATTAGAGAAATGTGTGCAACGATGAGTTTTATTGAAATGGTGAATCTTTCGAGGACAGGGAAATCCCGATTCCATCTAAATACCACCAACCCGAAATATTTGGAAACGTAATACATCAGATTTATAGATGAAATGTTGGTCGTTCTCCAAGAAGTTTGTACCATGACGCTCGAGAAATTGTTTTGCTTAAACTATTGCATATAACGATTTAATCTCTTCTAGTCAAGATTTCCGAATGTTATAAAGTGATTCTGTTTGCTTATGTTATAACCGACAGTCAGTAACCGATAAAAGAAAATACCTGAGTCGCTAATGACAGCTGGATAATTTCAAGGCAGGTTTTTCTTGTTAAGCTTTTATAAGGTGCTTGATCGACTTATATATACATTAATCAAATTGTGATCATTTTTGCTCCTACTAGTTTTATTTTGATAATTCTATAGTAGGTCTACTGAAAGGAAGAATTTAATTTTATGCACAGCAGGGAAATTGTGAATTGTTCAGGACTAGTAGGTTGTTCGTACGTGACAGCTTCGTCTAGTGTGTCTTGTTAAGTTCAGTTGCTTTGTTGGTTTTGACATGTTCGCGGAAAGTTACACTCTGATGTAAATCTATAATTCAGAGTATGCGTTTGCCCAGAAGTCGCGAGATTGAAACAATGAAAACACAAACAAGCTACTGGCTGTGTTGTAACAGGGCCAGATTCTGTGTATAACTCAGCCCTTCGCAAGAAATGAGTATAAGATGGACATGGAGTAAAACAGAACGTAATCATTTGTAATCTTTATAATTATAAAGACAATGAGATTTTCCCATGAATTTTAAAACGGCCTACATTAGTTATGCAACAAACTACAATTCTTTCTCGTCAGCGATGAAAATATATATTCCAGGGGATGATTATAAGAATTATTGAAAGAAAACAATTGACACATTAAAATTTGAAACGGTAGGCCAATACAGGAAGGTTTATCAGTTTTCTTCTTCATCCTATAAAATGTTTTATGATTTTCTTAAATTCTATCCCTTTTACCCCAAAACAATGACAAATAATGTTGAAAATTAAGCCAGATCAAAGTCCCATTACAGTTCAAGAATGTTTAGTTACTAGTGTTTGTATCTATGAAAGAATAAATACGGTTAAGACGTTCTCGGTTGTTGGATGAGATTTTTCATACATTTTGGCAAAAAAGTGAGGTTAATTTTCTACCGCTTAAAAGAATGACATTTGTTGAACTGAAACTGTGTGCTAGATCAGAAGATTTATCAAAATCATAAGTCTAATGATTGGACGAATGATTAATTTGATGACCGAAGAAGTGTCCACTTGTTTTTAACAGGATAATAGACCCCCTCATTGTTCGGTTTTCGCGAACAATTCTTTCACTGTCATGGGACTCGCACATGTCTTCGACCTGACAACGTGCGTCATAGGTTTTTGGCTTTGTGAAAAACATTCTCATAAATTTGCTTATTCATAATGCAGAAGTGACCCCAAATGTATTTATGCACCGTTTATCTCTGAAATGGTAATGAGAGCTTCACATGAGCTCACTGAGGAACAGAACAGTGATACTCATCATGGAGCACACTTACGTCACAGAAAGCTAAGAAAATAAAATAAATTTGCCCAATTAACTTTTTCAAAAGTCAGTAAATATTTGTGAATTGAATCTCTTTTTTTCAATTTTTCGGCCTTAATATGGTACTACAGTAACTGAAATTAGGCTATCCTAAGGATATAACGCGGACGCATAGCTCCTCGTTCTAATGTGCATTGTAGCACAGTTGATAAATTATGTGATGTTTGTTGTGCTTTAAAATGTAATGATTCACGGATTATTAAAGCTGTCATGTCATGTTAAAATAGTTCTCTGTCTACTTATTGATTATAGGCGGAGTACATTAAATAGATGAGTTTTCTGCAAACATCAATTGAGATTTTCAACAACGCCATGCTTACTGTTCTGTACGAACTTGTCTCTGTATGACGATATCTGACGTGCCGAATGCATAATAGCCCGGGTGCGGCAGACAACACGTAAGACAGAGGTCCCCAGATCGAGAGAGACGGAGTTAGAGATCGAGACCGTGGAACAGCCGAGGCCAGTCGAGGTAGTCAGGCAGCAACCGGGTGAGTTTGTTGCCTAGAACGGCAGAGACACCGTGAAGCATACACCAAGTCTGGCAACCATCACTTAGGGAGACCAGAGTCCTGCAGAGGTCGGTTGGTGCAGACAACGAGGCAGGCAGCAACTGGGTGAGTTAGAGGCCTAGTCTGTCAGAGACAGGATATGGCATTTAGCAAGACTGGCATACATCTCTAGAGGATACCTTTGAAAAAATTTCAACATTTTCAAAATTTTCGAAAAATCAAAAAATGCTGGAAATTGTCTGAAAAGCGCACAAAACCAAATTTTTTTGAACATTTCGAGAAAAAAATTTGAAGATGGAATTTTTCAATTTTTTTGGTTTTGTGCGCTTTTTCGACAATTTCCAGCATTTTTCGACTATTTGAATTTTTTTCAAATTTCCACCACCTGATGCCGTGCAGAATCGGTCTCCCTCGGACTATTTCTGATGTACTGTGTCTGACGAATGTGGTCAGTGCTTGACTCAGGCTCTGCACGGACCAGTCTCTGTATGACAGCTCTAACGTGACGTCTCTGACAAGCCCAGGTGCGGCTGCCAAAACGTGAAGCAGACACGGGCCTGCAGAGACAGGAGTCCTTCAGAGGTCGGTTGGTGCAGAAACCGAGGCAGTCTTCTACTGGGTGAGAAACAGGCCGAGTCTGTCAGAGACAGGATCTGGCATTCAGCGAGACTGGCATACATCTCTAGAGGAGACTTTTGAAAAAATTTCAAAATTTTAGAAAAATCAAAAAATGCTGGAAATTGTCAGAAAACCGCACAAAACCAAAAGTTTTTGAAAATTTCGAAAAAACTTTGAAGGTATAATTTTTCAATTATTTTTGGTTTTGTTCGCTTTTTGTACAATTTCCAGAATTTTTCAAATTTTCTGAAAATTTTCAAATTTTTCAAATTTCCACCACCTGATGCCTTGCAGAATCGGTCACCCTCGGAATCTTTCTGATGTACTGTGTCTCTGACAAATGCGGTCAGTGCTTGGCTCGGGCTCTGGGTGAGAAACAGGCCGAGTCTGTCAGAGACAGGATCTCGCATTCAGCGAGACTGGCATACATATCTAGAGGAGACCTTTGAAAACATTTCAAAATTTTCAAAATTTACGAAAAATCA